TGCTGATTTAAGCATTAATTATAAAAACAGCTGCCTAAAACCTTGCTTTTTTACTACTATTAATCTTTAAGTTTCAGCAAATAGCAGTAGAAGTGAGATAATCTTTTTGAATCTGAATATATGACTCATGCTTCATCTTAAAAGGCAGTATAATTTAACTCCCAAAGTCTGTAAGATTTGGGTGAATGGAAATCAACTAATTAACCCGCACTACTTCTGTGTTTCTCCACATCGAATCTTCCCCTGACATATCTGAAAATATAACATTATAAACAACACTCCAAAATTTGACCTTTATTTGAAACAGCATCCTTCCTCCTTTCTATTGTAACAACTTGGTCAATAAAGAAAAATACGTAATTTTATGCTTACTTATTGCAGAAGTTTGTGAAAAAAATGTGCTTACTTGCAGCTGAACTGAGTTATCCTGAAGACCTTCTACAATAGGAGAGAATCTATCTACATTCCTTTCCTCTGCTGCTGCTGTTATGGCCTCCAAAATTTTTTCAAGGCTGTAAAAAAAGAAAAGCATCTCACTCAGGAGAGATATTTAACCTTGCTGTTCATTTGTAGACAATTTCTTGTGCACAAATTTCAGAGGTCTAAGCATTACTTGTTTACTTTGGAGATTTTTATAGCCAAATAATGACTCAGGGGATTACAATGGTTAAGACACCTTCAAAGTCATGCTAAAAATCTTAACCAAAAGAATGGCTGCTTAACTATTTGCATCAAACCAGTACAACCACATGTCAAAAAGAAAACTCTAACTGATAGGATCATATCAAAAATCACAGACTAAGGTATTCTGAAAACTGACAATATAGTACAGTTTATTATTTTCAAACCTAAGCTGAAAATCTTAGCATTTCCTTCAGGTATAATTTTGAGTATCATAAAATTACCTTACTATTTCTGGCTAAATACAGTACTTACATGTTTTCCTCTCCAACAATGCACATTGCAGAAAGGAGTTTAACTATATCTGTCATCATGTTAGTTTGCTTGGGATCAATTGCTTTGATCAGCAACAAAAGGCTTCTCTCTTCTCCCAAAATTCTTTCCAATCCATACTAAACAACAGAAAAACAGTTGTAAGGAGAGTTGGAGGGAATCCAAATAACTATCAAGTATCTAGCAAAAGACAGCAACAGTTCCCCCAGGTAAGTATTTCAGATGACATTTAAGTACATCACATATGCAATTAAAAAAATGAATGAGAGAAAAGTAAAAAATGGGTCACTTAGCATGTAACAGGGGAACACATTAGCATCAGAAGTTTACTCTCTGAGTATATTTCTGCACAGAGGAAGTGGAAGCAGAAAGAACTTCAAAACACACCTGACCAACACACTGCTTCTCCAAATTGCACCAGCTTGCATCCACCAACCATGTACATTATCTGATTGAACTGTAGTAATTTATATTTCAAGATTTTAAAAAATCCCATACCTTATTATTCATGAAGGCTCTCAGACACTGAATGACCTTATGCTGATTCCTCTTCACAATTCTGTCCTGGCTGAATAAATAAAAAATTTAATGTAATTAAATGCTGTTTACATATTAAGCAAAGCTGGCAATTTAATATGAAATCATCCTTACTTTTTTGTCTCTACCAATCTTTCCAAAACGTCCAACAACAGCCCTAGACCTTCTCGACCAAAGTTTTCAACCCAGCTAGAGAGAAAGCAGAAAGATATTAAAAGAACTGACATTTCAAAGAGTAATTACAATGAATTAAAATTGTCAGCATACATAAAAAGCATAATTGGATCATTTTTAAATCTAAACTTGACTCTTTACTCAAAGGAAGATCAAGAGACACTCATTGATGCAATTAGATAACTTTAAATTTAAAAAAATAAATGAAGTAGTCATTAAATGTATTAATTACAATTTTGAAATTAACAACTATACATTCATTGTCACAGAACTATAATTTTAAAGTTTCTGCAAAGGAAGGGAAGAAAAACAACAATTTCTACTACACACAGTTCTAAGGTCTAGTGGAAAGTTCAGGATCTAACCATAAACAGCAGAGAAGAAAGGGAAAGCCTAAAGTAATTGCAGAAGTGATGCCTGAGATACTAATCCATATGAGTATCTCCAAGTGAACATAACAAAAATTGAGAATTTTGGCTGTTGGTGAGGTTAAACCTGGGCATGTTTTTTCTACATGAGACAGCACTTCACAGTCCTGTTTATTATTGTACAAAACCCCTTTATATCAGATACAAATACTTCCATGACTAAGAGAGTAGTACTGCAGCCATCCCTTTCATAGGAGCTGTTGATCTTTCTGAAGCTATGATGTTTGATCAATTACCTAACCCTAAAGTTCATGGACAACACTGTTATTCATACTCATAAAAAAAGGAATATTTCATTCTTTAGACTTCATTGTCTGTAAGGTATAGATATTTTAAATTTCAAACTCCTAACAAAATCACACTGGAGGAAGGTGAAGCTGGCTGCAGAGGCAACAAAAATACACACACAAGCAGAGAAACTGTAGGTATTATTTGTTCAGAAAATTCCTATTATAAAGAGTGAAGTTATAATATGCAATTAATGGATACCCTTGTCTTTCTATAAGAGGCAGGAATATTTCCCGAGACTTTTACTCAACTTCCCTTGCTACTCTCCTTGAATCTCTGATTATTGTCATTGGCCAAAATAACAAAAAATTATTTTGTAACAGGTCTCTCTTCCACATTTTTCCCACTTTTAAATCTGTGTATTACTTTTATCTATTAAGTGACTAAAAACTATGTCTGTTTAGAACATATATAGTTAGCATGATGAAGATGTGATACTTTTCACCATCTTCAACATCAAAACATGAATACTGCTGTGAGTGTAGCACCGGTAGTTTCTGTGCATTCTTTAAATTACTTAAAAAAGCTTAGGCCGAGGAAATCCCTTGTTGTTTATTAACAAAATAAAGTCTTATTCATAAAAAGGAAGCATCCATTCTGCAAAATCAGAAGTTCAGCATAAAGACATTGATGACAATTAGTAAAAAAATTACAACATTCATTTCACTTGCATTAAAGCCTCTCCACTGTTTTCTTCATTGTGTCTATTCTCACATCATTGTACACACTGGGTATAATTTGTCACCATGTTTGAATAGCAACCAGCACATTTAGATGCATCTACAATGGTGGGATCTTAGTAGTGACTAATAACAAGCTATGCCGTTGGAAATAACACAAAGGAGATGCAATAACTCTTTTAAAATACAAAGTACTTCTAATCCTGTAATGGACTTAAAAGTTACAGGAAGAGAGAACTAGATCAGATGCTTCTTATGTTTTTCCCCTAAAAGTAAATTTATATGAGAAAATATTTTCTCCTTCCTGGATGGGTGTTTTAGGCCAAGTAACTGTCAATTATTTTTTGTATAACTGGCCATATTTAACCTAAAAATGATGCTACTAGACATGCCTTAGCATATTTTTTATTAGACAGAATTGTATGCTGCCACTTTATCATACATCTGGCAACTGAGGACGATGAGAATGATCAAGTTCCTAAAATACTGTTCCATTATTACTGCTGTTTCCTCTGCTTTCACAAAAGAACAAAGATTACTTACACTATCAAGACTAAACCCTTGGCTTTTTGTCAGTCTGACAAAATACCAGACTATCAGTGCCCCTATTTTCGATTTTTTTTAATGTCCTCTTCATGAAAAGAGCTAAATCTATTGAAACTATTATAAAAAAGGACAAGAAATAGTTAGAGGTAACTAGTTATCTGCAATACTATGTACAGGTAGATCACTGAGCCACTTTGATGAATTGTGTTGGCAACCGTGAAGTAAAAACACCCCATTTATTCACCTGAAGAACAGTGACCAAGATCAGGGGGTACATTTTCCTTTTGAGCCTTTCTTTTCATACAGATGGAAAACAAATACTACTTTTTGCAGAGACCTATAGATTTCAATCCATTTTTCTAAGTATCAGGACCAAACTACTCAATATCACTTGATTCAGATTTTCACTGTGAACTAAAAATATATTTTACAAAACAATTAATTGAAAATTATGTTAAGAACTAGCTCTAGCATTAGAAATTGGAATAGCAACAAGATTAAAAAGTTAAGTTGATTAAAGTATAGTAGTTAGAAAAAAAAACCAAACACTTAAATTATATATTGTCAAAAAAATTACAGCCTAAAATGTGAAGACTGTCAGGCTAGATCAAATCAAAATTTAATTGTCATTCTCCTAAAAAAGCATAAATTTATTCTTAGGTATTACATCTGCATAAAATGACATCCCAAAGTTTCACCAGTTATTTCTTATTGTCCATATCATATGAAGCAGGTGTTTCAAATAATAATTAATTTATAACAGCTAGACTGAAGTTCAACATTTATGAGTCAAAGCAAAAACCCAAAGATCTGGCTGCCGATAGGAAAATCAAGGTCATGAATATTTGCATCTAATGAATATCAGCTGTTGTTACTCATTAGAAAGAGGTGGTCATGGTTTAAAATGGTTTAGGTAAAAAATTTTTAGTAAGGAAAGCAGTGTGCCACTGCTGCATTATTGCTGATTGTTTTTTTTCTTTAAGCCCTACAGAATAACTTAATTTTTTCCTAAGGTTATTTTTAAATGCTCTGTTTAAGGGTAATGAGGTCTCTTAACACTTTTTTAGCACCACTCAATACACCAGAAGACTGTTTCAGAACGTATATGTTCTGTTGGTTGTGATGCATTTTTTGATTTGTAGACTAAAATGCATTCATGGACAAGCAGTGCAAGGCACAGTCACTCTCCTTCTAATTCAAACCTCTAAAATTCAGACTTATTTTTAGTCCATACAACCATTAACTTAACAATGAGTTTAACTCCAATCCAAACATGATAGTTCTTTTATGTTTCTTTCATTCTGCTTAGTATTTTAACCTGAATTTAAATTTTAATAAATGTGGTCAAGTTGAGACTTTGATTCAACTGTCAATTATCTACCTACCATAGTTCATATTTGACTGAACAACGTTAAAGCCAGGGTCACCTTCTAGAACTATTTGTACCAATAAGCTAAAGAAACTACTAATCACAAAAGTATCAAAGGAATACTTTGATATCAACAGTATATCACAACCTTCTAGCACACTTCTAAGCTCTGACAAACTACACTAAGCTTATGAAAATGAAAACATTTGTTTTTCCATTTCTCCATGCACAAAACCATTTGTTGCTCTTTTGCCTGTAATCATAACATGTATCTACAGATTTCTAATCCTTTACTTACTCAGTGTGAAACATTTGTGGAAAACCTACTTAATAGAAAATTTTATAATATTTATTTCCTGTAAAACTTCTGTACATTGTTCTTCCTGATAATACTAATTACCAGACTTTTTGTATCGATCATGTACTGTATTACAACATCATAGTACAATTCAACTTGCATTTTCTATTAAATTTATTAATATTTTTTAAATTATTTTTTGGGGGGAGGTGGTGTGGGGTGGGCGTGGCACACGGGGTTAACTTTTCTCTTGGTGTGTTCAAAAGGAACAGAAAGATTGATCTAAACTTTAATTATCACATAGTTCATAAATTTCCAGATGCATCCCAGCAAGCAAATCTTCTTTGCTGAAAAACTTTAAGTGTAAGTAAAAGAAACCTCTGGGGTTGTGGGTTTTTGCTTTGAGGTTTTTTCAATAAAGGGGAAATAATACTATATAAAAAAGTAGCTTCACATGCATGGAGGAAATCTATCGTCTTTAAAACTGTCAGAAGTCAGGTTGATGTAAAGCATGTTTCTTCTCATGTGAACCATTCTTATTATAAATAAGACAATCCAATTAAAAAAAAATAAAAATACAAGAGGCAAACTCCCATACAGAAGACCCACGTTAGAAACTCTGCCAAGCCAGATGCAGAAGGAAGAAATCTGTCTAATCCTTTTTAATCACATTCTATCATAAGCCTTCCCAGCACTTCATTTGCATTACTTTGAACTAAACTCAAAACAGTTTCCCAAAATCATGCGTTCAACCACTGCCTTATACAAGAACTCTAAAACAAAAGGTTATAAATAGAGTAGAATAAAATATATATAATTTAATAAAATGAAGCCAGCATACATAAATCAAGTTCTATGGATCAAATAAAACTAAACATAAAAGATTTGTATCTGTGTTAGACTTATGATTACTGACGTGTTAAGCCTTTTTTTTAAGAAAAGCACAGGTAACCTAATGTTGTGCTCTCTTCTATATAAATAAATCCCAGATACAACAAAAAATTACTAGAAGGCAGCAAGGAGGAAAGCCTAAGCACACTGGACAGAAGGGGGAGCACACAGTTTTCTGGCTAGCAAATTTACACCAAGGTGTCTAATTCCCATAAATAATGACCCTGACCAAGTAAGCTAGAAGATTAAAGATTTAAGAGAATATTTCAGAAATAAAAATGAAAAAAAACTTTTGACTACTTAGCACTAGAAAACAAAGCTAACTACTCTGCAATACATTTGTTCATATTGTCTCAGCATTATGTTGTACAGGTAAGTGCAATCTCCTGAAAAATAGATCTACAAAAGATACACAATCAGTGAAAAAAAGAAAAAAGGTACAATGATTCACTAAACGCATACACATTCATTACCTAGAAAACCTTGAAACATACACATGTACAGATCCATTAATTTTAATTGATTCAGACACAAGAATATAATTAATCTTTGCAGTATGTGTTAATGGTGTTACCTGACAGGATTACTAGTCAAGGACACACGGAGAGATTCTAAGCAAGTGACTAGTCTTTCATCTGTTGACCCAGATTTTAATTCCTGAATAAACTCTTGGGCTGAAATCTTCCGACTGTTCTTGAGACTTCCCTGAAATATAAAAAATATATTTGTTTTTTTATTTGGTACATATAAAGCTTGAATACAACACTAATGGCTAACCTTCATTTTTATTCTTTAAAAAATTGCACTCTAAACCTGTAACTTTGTTGTGCACCTGCTATAAACGCTAAATGCAGACTAAATTTTTGTCAGTTTTTGAACAAGTCCATAATCAGTAGAAAAAAGCAGCAGGCATCAAATATAGAAATGTATTGTGCACACTTGGTGAAATACAAATTTTGTCATTAATGGATTCTGTTCACACATTGCAAGCGTCCTAATTTTCAATACTCAAAGAAAGAACAAAAAAATTCTGAGGTGCTCCTGAGGGCAGGTGTCTAGAGGGGGGCCTGCAGCCATGTGAGAACACAGAGGGAAGAACCAGTGCATCAGAAGAGTACTCAGGATGTTATCGCAGTTACTTGAGCTCTTGCAGATAATGTTGTAAAATACTTCCCCTTAAAGGTCCTTCAGATGAAGAGTGTGTGAGATTTGAATTATGAAAACAGACTACTTTTGGCTCCAAGGGTTAAAGGGAAATAAAATATTAAAATAATTATTTAGAACCACCAAAGTTCTGAAGATAAATTCCAGTTCCTCATTCATTGTATTTGCCATCTTTAAGAATGCAGTGCAACCATAATAAGACTTCTGATGCAATAACTTAAGGACATTTATTCAAGTTGTCAACCTTCAGGTTTGGATTTTGCCTTGTTTTTTGGGCTTTGCTCTTTTTGGCAGGTGGGGAGGCAATCAAGGACATGGAGATAGAAAGGAAAATGCAATGGCAAGTTATTGCAGCACTGCAAAAGCAGTTTTGTGCAGAGGAGATATTTTCTATTCCAAGTAATGTAGGTATACAACCCATGTATAGGTATACAACCTATACTTTAATCAAGTCTTTGGAGAAACTCCCTTTTTTGAGAGCAGAAGCACAATCATTCTATCATTCAGCACTGAAAAGTTACTAAAAAATACTTAATTATCTCGCAGCTTAAGTCAGGACCTGAAGAGAATTAAACTTGCAGTGCAATCATAACTTGAAATTATCCACTGTAAATGGTGTGGCAGTTTCATTATCTGATTATACAGAAGTAGAAGATGATGAAATACTTTCTAGCAGAGATGTGAAGTTGAGAACTAGGAAGAGTTGACAGACCAGACTACTGTGCTGCCATTCAGAGAGACCTAAACAGACAGGAGAAACAAGCAGAGAAATGTCATGGAGTTCCATGACAGGAAGTTCTCAATTCTGAACCTGGAAAGGAATAATTCCATGCACCAAGAGCTGCTTGGGACAATCAGCTGGAAAGTAGGTTTGTAGGAAAAAAATGAGAGTCCTGGTGGATACTAAGTTGATCATAGAGGCATGTACCACCAGCTAATCAAAGGGAAGGGATCCTTCCCCTCAGTAGTGGTGAGCTGTGGTGTAACAGGAGATCAAGGCTGCACACGTATGCATATGCAGCACATAGTTTCCTTTGCAATCTGGATCTTCCCAGCTGATTTCTGCATAGCTTAGGTATTGGACTGACTAGTGACAAGATGACCAAACAAACTGCTAGCAGCATTCACAAAAAAGTACTTAACTAAATGTTACAGGAGGTCTCCAGTTGGAAATTTTAAAAAGTCCCAGAAATTCTCCTGGCAGCTCCTGCTGTGCACAGACTAGTTGATAAGCACTACTTGTATGCCTAAGCAGATGGAGTAATATCCTGAGCAGAGAATCTGTCATTTCCAGTGACTTCCCCCAGCAGTTCCTGCTACAAAATTGACCGAGCTGGATATAACTAAAATACTTACAAAGAGTCAGTAAAATCACTCTCTTTTGATGCAGAAGTGGTCATATAGGACAGTTGTGTAGACCAGAAATATAGTTAAGATGTTTAGATGCTATTCCAGAAGTAATATGATATAATCAACAGCAATGTGGGCAGTAGAAATGTCACATGGGACAAGAGCCCAGCTGGACTACAAGAATGACATTTCAAAGAGTTTCATCTGAGCCATCTGAAAACACTGTCACAAGCAATGGAGACTCACATCAACATTCATATAGTAACCAGCCATCCCATTTCAGACTCTGTTCCCCACCTGAACATTACCCTATGCAAAAGAGGCCAATAAACTGAGTGAATGTCTGTGCTACATATACACAGTACCAAGTACCATTTATTCAGTTACACCAAGGCTCTGCATAATAAGAATATGATACATCTGCCAGTGCTTAAATAAAATGAGAGCTGCATTTGGTACCCATTGTGAAACTGATTATATTAGCTATATTTCTGCATGGGAAAAGCTGCTTAAGTTAAAAACACTCGAGTTAACTGAGAAACAGGAAATATCTTGAGGCGTCAGTGCCTCTAGAAATTTAATTGCTCAACTGAAGAACAACTGGTCTGTGAACAGATGCAGTATGAAGTCAGCATTAATTAATTCAGTTAAAACATTACAAGAGAGTAAGCTGCACAGCAAAAAATAAAACATTGTTAAGAAAACTCACTTTAAAAAGTCAGCTTGTGTGTGTTCAACATACAGAACAGCAAAACTTATGGTTGAGTAATACAGTAATGTTACTTTTCTTTCCTCTTGAGTATTAATTCCAAAACATGGAAATTTATTTTTAAAACTTTTCTGGGTTGGAAACACCCTTGCATGTGTTTATATAGCAGGTCAAAATGAGGTGCTGTTTCTAACATCAAATAATCAGAATACATAGAAGCAGCTAACAAAAAAAAAAACAACAAAAAACAATCCAAACAAACAAAACCAAACAAAAAAAACAAACAGATAATAGATTGGACATAAGAACCTCAAACAACTCTAAGATAGTATTTTAAGGGAAGAAATAAGGCTGCAGGTAAACAGTATACATTAGAAGAAAACAAGAAAGTACTAGCAGAATACCCTGAATATATAAATTAAGGTTATAGATATAAGTATATAGTTATAAATATATATATAAATATAAACCAGCTGAGCATAGAAGCACCAAACCCAGCATAATTTCTAGACGTAACAGTAACAGAGGTGTGCTTTGTTGGAAAGGAGTTCTGCATTTCTAAGAAAGACAAACCCTGATACTGAGGTCAATGGTGAAGCTTGGACTACAGTGGAGTCCATTTTAATCACCAGAAGCTGCACCATTTTCATAAGTTGACTAGGAGCACAGCCTATGTTCTTCATTTTCATAGTTTTTATGATGATGATTGCATTAAACAAAACCTGCTCAGTACTTTGCATGGCAGTTGCAAATGAGGATATTTATCACAACACAATATAGCTTGGTACCTGTCTCCTTAAAGTCTGAGAAGTATGAACTATCAAAAGATGCTACTGCAGTATCACTCAAGAGACTTGAGATGGTGTTAGTTCTACGTAATACTCAGGAGCTATATGGCACTTCAGCTTTTCTGAAAAAGTATGACTTTCATGAATTTGAGGTGTACCAAAATTTAGCAAAGTGCCCTTGGGAATATAGTGAACTATTCTCTCTAGTCTTAGAAGGCACTTGGACAGTCCAATGCACTGGAGAAATTGTGAGAGACCAGCCCTCAGGACCCTAACTTGCTGGAAGTGATGTCAAAAAGCCATTGCAAAAAACCAAGTGAAATGACAACTGAAGACAAAAAAATATTTATTGCAAATGAAACTCAGAAACAAGAGTCAGTGAAACCTACTCTGTTACAGACATTTATTCTTTGCAAGTATTAAGTATCAGAAATTAAAGAGCTAACATGAAAATCTTTCTCTTGAAAAAGTGAATTTTAACATCACCATCATGACACTAAGATTTCAGCAATAGATGTGGATTCAGCAACTGCACAGCCAGCCACATCTTAGAATGCATGAGGATATTAGGGGTGTCAATGCCATATAAAATTTGACATGTTTGTTTTGGGCTGAGAAATTTCAAGACTGTTACGAGATTTACTAACATCACTTTTTCTCTCCAATAGGAAATACTCAAAACATTAAGTACACATTTTTTGTGTACTTTACAGAAATTTACTTACAGACTTTGAAGCAGTACTAATATATTGCATCACCATTTCTTTTTTGGTATTAAAATCTTTTTCTCTCAGTGGCATCTTCTTGTCTTCATTCAAATTCATATCCTCCTAGAATGGGAGGGGGAAAAAAAAAGTTTCACATGTGATCCAGCAACAGAGTTGTTTAACTGTAATACTTTTTTTAAAAAAAAAAGACACAAAAATATGAATTTGAGCAACTGCAAGCTGCTATACAAATAACTTATGAAAAGTTAGATGTTACTCAAAACCATAATCATCTTTATCCATCTTCCCTAGCAAGTCAGATGAAAAAACAGTCAACTGTGTCAGGATATACAAGCACATAACAACCATTACTAGTGTAATCTTGGAAATTGCCTACAGTTTCACACACACACAAGCACTAAACTACAGAAAGGCACTATTTAAAACTTGCTAAAACCCCTATAATTATAATTAAATCAGTCTCCTAGGAAGGTATTTTTCATGAGATATCAATTTGTGCAATAATTCTGCTCCTTAGTTCCCAAATTCTTAATCCTGGACAGCAGTATCTACTTTGCTCTGAGAGTAGTTCTCAAAACAATATACATCTTTGCAAGAGGTAAGGCCCAAATTCTTGACAATTTTATCTTTAAATGAACACCTTCAACTGTTATCAAAATACCATTGTAATTCATTCATACCAACATAAACCCAGAGGTCAAATAGAGCAGATACTGACCCACATTCAAAACCACACAGCAGCTATTCATTGACATTTCTGACATGGGGACTTCTACTGTTCTAGCCTAGAAATGCTCTAATCATTGTAATCAGCTCCACATCTGTGAGAAATGACATTTCCTATCACACTGGAGATAAATAAATAATCTTTTCAAAAATAAAAAAAAAGCTTTAAGAAATAATTTAGGCACACACACAGGAATACATAGAGCATTATCACAGTCACCCAAGCTGAGCAAGAATTAATGACATTATTTTCAGCTGAGAGTTCTGAGGTGAATACCCATCAGCTTTGGCAGGTGCAATGACAAAAAAAAAGTGGGTAACCATCTTGATACAAAGCTATTTCACCTAGTCAGAAATCAAAGACAAACAGAAAGCAAACTGATAACCTTAGACTTGTAACAAAAAAACCCCTAAAGACCAAAAAGTTACACTGCACTGAAATTTAAGTTTTCTTGTCTTTCACCAGTTTTCCTATTGATCAGGACCGAATCAAGCACGGTTTATAGAAACATTAAGTTTTGTATAAATCCAGGCTGTGACAAGTCATTAAGAGAAAATGCTTGACCCCTTAAGCTGAACTTCATTGAAGTACAACTAGGGCAACTTTGTGTAGATTCTGGATTTTTGCCCCCACATATATTATTGTTTCCTTTCCTTAAGGACTAGAAAAAGCTCCACGCTCCAGTCTACTCTGGATTTAAATTATTACTTATTATTTATTAAATTAGTATTGAATTAGTATTTTTAGTATTTATTTGGTACTACATAGTGTATTTGTAGTGTGAGATTTATACAAATGATCCCATTTTATATTTTAATTATCAAATAAGTACAGGGCACATATTGTAAAAAGTTATTTCATTCAAGCAACAATAGTCTTTTGCCTCCTTGGCAACTAGCCTGCACATTGGTGTTACTTCCTACATCTGAAAGTAAATGCTAAATTACTTTCTCCAAACAAGCTGAAAGAAAAGAGGCCACACAGTTGTCAATCTTTTCTCATAGTTCTTCTCTTCCAAATCCTACACCCCTTTGATCAAAAAATTCATAAACTCTTTGCTTATTCTCAAACCAAAATTCTAGCAGTGAATATTTTTTGAGTTGCATCATACTAAATCAAATGTTGGGGACATTATCTCAAAAGGGCATGCTGTGTTTTGTAGCTTTTCTTGGATGAAAGCAAAACAAGAAGCTATGATTTACTTAATTATGGGAAACCTGGTATGATCTAAAAATGGACTCAAATATCCATATTAAAATAAATATTTTAAAAACAGGCTCAAATACACATACATTAAAACATTGTTGGGATCATATATTATATGCAAAGAGTTAATTTTCTTCCCAGACATTTTTTAAAAGTGAAAAAAAAAATTAATTCTGTGTATGCATCATTTGGAAAAAGAGTGAAAGATATTTAAAGTTATCTGTCTCTACCAAAGCTTACAAAATTCACTGCAGCTTTTTTAAGATGAGAAAGAACACATGATCAACCCCAAAAACTTGTGTCTTTAGTATTTCCAAGTCAAAAACCTAAAGTAATCACCTGCTTAAAGAAAAGGTACACTAAGGCTGTTAAGCATTGCTGTCATATGGTTAGGTGGAAACCTAAAAATTTAAACCAGTTACACAACAAATCAGGCTAAATCTCTTAATTAGCTGGTCAAGCATTTATCAGTTAATTACTTAACTAGCTAGGACTTTTACAATTCATGAATTCTGACACTGATGTATGGTTTTGGACATGAAAGCTTGTGAACTGCTAAAAGGCATTTAAAATAAAACAGAAATGGAAGTTCAATTTATCTATTTACATTTTTTTCAATAATAAATTCTTTCAAAGCCAGAAAAATACTAGAACTTTAAATTCTGAACAACTGCTCAAAAATCTCTATGCCTTATCTATGACATTTTCTTAGATTAAAAATTATGGAGCTTAAAATCAAGTCAGATTGCAAAAAATACTACAATACCAGTCTTCCCTGTAGCCTTCCATTTGTTATCTTGTTACAGGTATTTCTCATTTTATGTAATATTTCAGTTTAATTAATCACCTTCTATTAAATGCATAAAATATTCATGCCTATTCTTATTACCAGGCAACACATCTGTTGAGATACACACACAACAAGCTATACTATAAATTACTATAATCAAGTCCAGCTAGACATTACCAGATAAATTTGGGTTTTTTCTTCAAGTTCTAACAAATGTCTTCGGAACAGTGTGTCTCAGGATTCTTTTCCACAAGAATACAATTATATAGCAACACTGACTTCAAATGAAAATACACTTTACAAGTACATTTAATAAGTGTACCTGTTTGGTTTTCTTAATAATTAAATTGTATTTTAAAATCTACACAAACAGCAATGTAAAAACACTGAAGCCAAAGTAATCCATTTTAAGTTTCAAAATACATAAATAGCTAGGTCTTTCTCAATGTTTTTTGAGAAGTATCACATCTTCAGTATCTTGCCTGCAATATGACACAGGGCTTCTTTCATATACATCATACTGCAAAGTTAATTCTTCTGTTTAAAGCAGTTTTGCACTTCTTTCAGACTCGCTATTTTAAGTTTTCTGAAGAATGACTTCTGAACTTCAGTAACAAAGAGAAAACAAAGGGCTTGCTTCTCCTGCAAAAACATCCCAACTTTTAATCACATTATTTAAAAAAAAATAAATCAAAACAACAAAACCAAAAAGTATGCAGAGGAGAAACTTATCAGTACAAAATATATTCCATATTCTGTCTGCGTGTGAAGTAAAAAGTAAACTGTTTGTTGTTGTTTTTAATAAATGAAACATCATTAAAGCAAGTGATTGCTTCACATTAGAAATATTCAGTGGTATAATTGGCATGTCAGATTTGGCTTAGTTTATAAAATACTTCAACTCCACTCTTTTATTTCTTCTTCAATAATTTGAAGATACTTTACAGGTGAACAATACCTCTCTGGAAAAGAGGAGTAAGTCATTTCACATGGGTATTTTCCTAATAGCACCAAGAGAAACAAAAGAAGCTGTCAGGTAATTATTACCTTTAAGTGTATGATTTTATGGGTTTTATCATGATTTTTGACATCAAGATCACACAGGATCTTATATGCACTGCATATAAGACTGGGAGAAGGAAGCAATAGACAACCAGAACCCAAAATAAAACATAACACAGTCAGTGAAACTTCAGAATTTAGAAACTGCTCTCTTCAGTACTAGCCAATTGACTATTTTTACTTTGTGCAAAATTAAATCCAAAAAGCTTGGCTATAGCATTCTAATTCTTCACCACTCCATCCCCCCAAATGATTTAATTTGATCAGAACAGCAAACTAGAAACTACATTATATAATTAGCTATGCAATCTACTGTGACTAAACTAGCTTTATTCCAGTCCATTCAAGTGTGGATAATCTGAAGAATCTTTTCTGTATTCATGCTACAGCTAAAATAACACTGACAAAGTAGTTAATGAAAGACAGTTTAAGTGTTTTGTTATTCAATGAAATCAGGAAAGAATTCAAATTATCCAGGTTGTCATAATTATTTAACATATTTTTGCAAAGTAGTTTTAAAATTGGTATTGCTTCAGGATCTATGGATACAAGCATTCCTGTTTACTGAGACACACAGCAGTATGCTTCAGAGGATTTACTGACAGTTTCCATTTTTTATGGCATAGTCTAAACATCACACACTATCTTATACAGAATCTCTGTGGGATGGTAGAGAAATACAACCTACATTTATGTGTCAGGAGGTGTGTGCAGGGAGGCATACCTTCAAGTATTAGAAAAATTCTTCCTAATATTTGAGCAGTGAAGTTTCTCAACAGAAGTAAAATATCCCAGACACCAAAATATACCAAGAAAAATAGACCATGTGAGAAAAACAAGTACAAATACAGAAGTTGATAACACAGTAAAGTAGTCCTTCCCTTCATCAGCTTAAGCATAAAAATCCTTAATTCTATCTCAGCCATAGATCTCAACAGCTCTACAAAACCATCTTCAAAACTCAACTAATATTACTGTGTACTAGGAATTCCACAAAGGTTCTTCTCTCATAGCCCATATAATCCCCTCCACATCCTAGCCACTGGTAGTCCCTTTGTGTTTCAAGAGCCGCAGAGAAAATAATAATAATAAAGGCATCAATCTAATTGTTAATGTGTTCTTGTGCTCTTCAGATTGCAGTCACTCTCTTCTCTCAGGGCCATTCCATGTTTAGTTTTCCCCTGCCCATAATGTCATTATCATCACGACAAAAAAAACCTCAATCTATTGAGGTGGTATCGATGCTACATGATCCTTCCAGTAAGTGACAGCTCTCTTGCAGCACAGTAATGACAGCTAAGGAAAGAAGCAAACGTGAGACTGCATGTCCTGCTTTGGAGGAAAGAACCTTAAGACTTTTTCAGCAAGAGTAACATGGAATATAAAAAAATCCTGCTGTGACACTCAAAGGCATAAAATCCCTTTTTAAAAGCTTCAGGTTGTCTTGAAAGCAAGCAGGATTCTCCATTACTTGTTCCTCCTCAAAATCTGTTGTATAATCTCATTACTAAAAATCAGAAACATTCGGTTTCCATTTTAAAAATATTTGGAGCAAAATCCTGTCAGAACAATTCAAATTCATCTTCTCCTGAGAAACACCCTAAAACCCATATAATTACAACTCAAAAATATACTAATAATTTGGGTAAAGATCAGGACATACGCACAGAAGAAGGCTTCACCTGTCAGTTAACCATGTTGTCATTCTTTAAGTAGAAGAAACCAGCATGAGACTTACCATCATTTTTTCAAAGAGTGCTATGATTTCTCTTTCCGACAGAGGTTTTGGTGCAAAATCCTCTGCATCCATAGGTTTGGATGACCAGTCTGCAGAATGTGACTGTTTTGTATGCAGCAGAGGAGGTCTTTCTTTTTTACTTCCTGGAATTCTTAGACTGGCAAATCTATCCAACTGAAAACAGAAAAGATAACTTAACACATACTGTTTCCATTCTATGTAGCCATAATTAAGATGGGTGTTCTTGGAAGCTAAACATCCTTATTATTCTGTGTACTCGCTTGTTATTTACCTGTCTTATTTTAAAGGGTTTTCGTAAAGATATATGTAAACACAATCACACAGAATTGTCATGGCTATAAAAGACCTCCAAAATCACCAAGTTCAACTGTCTGCTCAGGGGAAAAAACAAAACAAAAAAACCCAAACAAACAAACAAACAAAAAAAACCACCACAAAACCATAACCAGACACCCACAAAACCAAGAACTCACAAAAAAAAAAAAAAAACAACAAAAAACCAAACACAACACTGCCCACTACAGCATGCCCTGAAGCACCACATCTACAGGTTTCTTGAATACCTCTAGGGACAGTGACTACACTACTTCCTTGGGCAGGCTATTCCAGTGCCAGACCACTCTTTCATACAGAAATTCTTCCTAATATCGAGTCTAAACCTCCCCTGCCACAACTTCAGGCTATTTCCTCTGGTCCTATCATTATTCACTTGGGAGAAGAGGCCAACACCCACCACCCTACAACCTCCTTACAGGTAGTTGTAAAGAGCAATGAGGTCTCCCTTCAGCCTCCTCTTCTCCAAATGAAACAATCCCAGCTCCTTATCCTCTCCTCACAGGACTTTTTCTCTACTGGTCAGTTGCCTTAGCACTTGAGTTCCAGAATCCCATTACATTATGGAGAAAGCATGCACAACACAAGAATTTTATGGAAAGTTTAGAGGAAGAGATACCTACAAAGCGAGTTTATGACAGTTCTTCCCAACCATTACATACAGAATATGAAAAAGCAGAATTATGTACCAAAAGCATAATTTTAAAATGTTTTTGTTATTTTTTTTCACTCTGAAACAATTGTACTCCTGACATTGTTATAGAATACAGAGATATGCAAAGAAACTACTTGTTATTTAAAGGCAAGTGAGCATAACTATGACACTATTCTATTTATTTTTATTTGGATTATGTTATCCAAAACTTAGTGCCTTTCTATGCTCCAATTATTAATATTTAGACATACATTTAGAAGAAGCAATAAAATCATTAGCTTCTTTATTAAAGTGAAGTAGAATACACTCACGATTTCATGAATAATCCTTACAACTTCTTGCCAACACAAAACAATTGCTCTGACTTTACCCTTTCTTAAGCCAGAAAAACGTATTCGGCAAAGTGGTTTGGGATGTGGTTTGTGTCATGTTTTGGTTTTGTTTTTTTTTATTGGTTACATATTTATCAGCTTTTCAATAAATACTAAGTGAAATTTTAAACTTTTTCTTGTCAAGTTTTTGTGTTTTAATGTATATAGACAAGGACCATCAGAATACAAAAGCAGCTGACATAGTCAATGAGATGTGCTAAATCTTAATCATCTTTGTAGCAGCCTTTTGAACAGATGTGAACAGCAATATTACACCTGTCAACACAGAAGAAGGTTGAAGATGCATTTCATGCATAAGAAATTTTGGACAAGATTTCAAGCATATCAACAGATTTACATGTTTGAAATGATATGCAAAAATATTCTGAGGCTTCAATATACAGTAAAGATATGCATCTTCAGGTATCATTTAATGAGTACATCAAAGTCACCAAATTCAGTGACCAGTAAAGTTATTACAGCATCTGTAGATTTAAGATCAGAGAGAGCAAAGAAAATTAGCAGCAAAAATTGGGTACAAGTGTTCCACTCTTGTCAGAGCAAAAATTGACTATTAGACATGCATGAAGAAGGGTTTAGAGGAAAAATGAAGACTTTAAGTCTTCCTGTTCAAAACTGAAAAGGAACATTTTTTGGAACATAGACAAAGATCGTAAGCCACTCACATACAGATGGTTGTAGAACATGCAAAAGCAGAAAATTAATATGGCATAAACATAAAGGAGCTCAGCAAGGATGATGGGGCCCTTCAGTGTCGCATTAAACCAATGCAGAATGAGGAAAGCACACTCTACAAGATTACATAGGCAAGACCCAGGAAAAAAGAGAGGCAACAAAAGCAAAAGGGAGGGTAAAATTATTGGAAGTGAAGTATAGACTCATCAGTGGCAAAGAACATTCTGCATCTTAACCAGACAGCAATATCCCTTCCTGTGTTTAAAATCATCAGCCTATGGCAAGCATGGGGGGATGAAGCCAGACTGCAAAGCACAATGACTAGACTGGAAACTTTAAAAAAAACTATTATATGAGATTTTTCTCTTTAAACAATGGCTTTGACAAAGCATTGATGAAAGGTATCACACGTACTCCAAAGAACGAGCTAGCCAGTAGCTTCTCCATGCCCCACTGCTCACTATCAAGTGTGTAATCTAATAAATAAACCTTTATATTGGAAAATTCTTCCCATGCAGACTTGAAGCAGTGGTAGAGGAAAGACATTTCAGCTGACAGAACAGATTTCAGCACCCGGTTCAGTCAGCAGAGAACTGACTAAATCAGGTTTAAGAGGGGTGTGCCCTACATGTCTTACTCATCTCTCCTGAAAAACCTCAGCTGCTTCTTCACAGTCTGTTTCCCAAGCATTCCCTTTTCCTTCCCCTGCTCCACACAGCAGCAGCTCTCTGCCATGAAATATCCCATGCAATCCCAGAGGTACTCCTACACCACTAGGAACAGGCAGCAGTACTTCAGGGATGTGAGCCAGCTGAGCCTTGAAAAGTGGTACTTCACTTCCACTTCTTCACATTTATACTTCATGCTTTGTTTTTAAGGTCCTCTTGAATATTTGACTCTATGGCAGATGTTTTTCAACATTATAGATTAGGCCATGACATTAATATTCCCCATATTCACCAAATCCTATACCATGTGTCCTAGAGAAGGGAAGCACACTTTTACGATACATTTAATCAGGCAGAACATGTAAGACAAGGTGAGATACTAGGACTATAAGTATATTTAAACATGTGTCAAACAAATTACTTTAAATAATTTAGAAGAATGCATCCTAAAAATAGGATTTCTGTGGATTAAAAAAAATGAAATTCACTAAAAGACCTGAATAGCAGTGCTGTCTGGGTGCTCTACATATACTTCTCTTTTGAATTATACACTGAATGTGCTTTAAAAAAGTTAATATCTCTCATTATTCCATACATGCAAATAATTTAATGGTCCACAAAGAGCACTATACAGAAAGAATAGAAATTTCATTGCTTGATTGTAATGAAATCTACCACTGATGCTGCTGGCAACCCAATTGCATAGAAGAGGTAACAGCAAAAATAGAGTTCAATAATCTTTCATGTTACATCAGAAACATTTAAATCAGGCTAACCAATGGGGAATAGCTGAAGTTAGCTTTGATACAAAGCATCGCTACAGTTTAAAGCAGGTTTGACCTTCTGTTTTCTCTGAAGATGTCTGCCTTTTTTTGTTTTTATTTTACCAATAAATACATACAGACCCATATAGGAAGAGTGCTTTACAGCAATCATTTCCTGAAAGAGTCAAACCTAACCCTTAAGGTCTTTTTCTAGAGCCAACATTAAAACCAACCAAACAATAAGCAGTGTTTCACATGGTCTTTATACACAGTATTTTCACAACAATGTCTCTTGAATTTTTTCAAACTAGGATCTCTTTTGATGCATCAATGGAATTTGGAGTATATTATCCAGAGTTAAGAGTTGAAAGGCAATAGAGAGTGAGAATAAGAGTGCAATTAACTACTCCTGGGCATTCAAAGGAGAAAGCTAGAAATTTTTAATACACTATACAAAAACATAACAGGGAATCTCTAACCAGCCTGTTAATTCAAACAATAGCATATTCTTTCCATCATAGTACAGTGCTACTGAAGATGAGGAAACATGTATTTGAGATACATAATCTAAAAAGAAACAACTGTAAAATAATTACATATTGAATACAAAAATACTTCCAAATATTAATTAATATTCCATTTAATTTCTAAAAAAAATGAACTGCCCGTGTAACCACACTGCATAGTGGTCTGAAGCTTAAAAATTATATAACTTTGAAAGGAGAAGTGAAAGCAACTAAAAAGAAAAGTTAACTCTGGAAAGGAAAAAAGCTTAAGGCAGGAAGAGTTTCCTATTCACAGGTAAGCATAATTCTAGAAAAAACACAGATCTACCACTTCTTTGTTAGCAAAAAAACAACTGAGACCATCTTAAGTATTTTTTTAGTCAAAAGGGAGGAGTTTTTTGGCAGGTTTGGGGTTTTTTTAAGGTGGGAGAAAAGAGGATGAGGATGGGAGGGAAAACAAAAATTAAGTAGGACAGCAGCAAACCTAATAAAGATATAATTCACGGTTATCATTCCTAAAACTAGATCCCCCAGCATAAAAGTCTTTTCTTGTAAACTTTAATTTAAAGCAGTAAGTTCTTTTTATGTATTTTAGTTTTTATGCTTTTATGACTCCTACTGCCAGAGGCTAGAACATCTATAAAGCAGGGTACTTCATTCTGGTAGCTTGCATTCTCCAAGAGACAAACAAAATAATGGCAGCTGAGACAAGATCTCCACGTCAGAAACCTCCATGTCAGAACTGAAACACCATGAAAAGTAAACCATGGTCAATACGTGAATATGAGTTACCGTGAGACTGCTTTTCACTAGCATTTTACATTTACCACCCTGAAGATTCTCAGGGAGCCTTGACAAAAAGCAACTCTATTACTGTGGCTCCCTTACACTGTAGTAGTTTATACTTTCTAATGGTAGTGTTTCTTCCACTGTTCCGCTACATCACAAAGCTCTGCGGAACTACAGCTTCCGAAGTACAGCAACTAGCCCTACTGACAACTTTCAGCAGTATACAAGGTGCAAAGCAAGTTACTGCATGTATACAGTAACAGTGCTGA